ATATATATATATATATATATATTTAAGTAAGCTCGAAAAAAATGATAAAAACGATTACATCAAAAGGAAGGATAGCGTGAATTTTACACATCATATCCAAACCTTAGATGAAATATAATAAAATCTAATTTTACAGAGAGAAAATAATAATAATCTAACAGAGAAAAAACATGAAAGAAAAATGCATCCACGAAACAAACATCCAACACTGGCACGAATCATAAGGTAGATCATAATATAATGTGCCATGGTTTTTTGGGGGTTTTAGCTGCAGCATAGCAGCTCATAGAAAGGCTCTGAGGTTTTTTTTCAAGTACAAACTTTTATCTCATACTCAATCTCTTGACCAATTTGAGATATAATTACAGCTGCGGCTACTGAGGATTCCCTCATTTGCAGAAGTAAAACCCAAATTGCATTGGGGTACACCATCTGTTCAGTTTAACCTCAATTTCGCCAGCCTCACATGCTTAGAAGAAAAAAGAAAAGGAGCAGACATGGGTGCTCTAGCCCACAACACCCCACATCTCTACCACATTTTGTTGTCTGCAGCCAGATGTAGGAAAGTGGTTGCTCACAAAAAATTAATAAATAAACAAAATAAGATCAATAATAAAAAAAGAAATAATTAGAATACAAGACATCAATTGGAGAGACAGCCAGATTGTCCTTGAAGTTGTCATTTCAGCCCCCAATTTGATGTTTGGACATAAATACCAATATTTCAAGGTATTACTATACTAAGCCTAACCTTTATTATTAGTATAGCTCCCATCCTCCATCCTTCCTTGCTACTGTTTGGATCTTCAATGGTTCTAAAGAGATCCACATAATAGCAGGTCTTATAAAGGGAAGGTGATACAACTACATTAGTCCATCTATATAGGATATAAAATGTTCAAATCAGTAATTCCAATTATTCCTCTCAAATAGATTTTAGAAATTATTTTATTGTGTATGTTATAGTTTTGTTTATATTGCTATTTTCAAATTTATATAAATGCTTTTTATATTTATTATAAAATAATTTAAAATATCTAATTAACGTTTTTTCAACAAAGCCATTAAAGATCAGTTTTTACTAATATAGTAATATTAGATATTAAGAATTGTACATTGCTATACATTTTACAAAACCTAAGAAACAGTGAATATATAATACTCTGTATTGTATTTGTTGGTACATTACTATTTGTAAAGTGAAGTCCAAATATATGAAACGTAAAATCGTTTCTTTTATCATAAATATTACTATTCTTTCACTGCATAATTAGATTTCATGATCAGTCCCTAATTAATGTCATTTCTTTATCAAAAATCATCATAAATTAGCAGTATATTTCACTGTATTATGCATTATGATATACAAGACATTTAAATTGCATATCTCGACATTATGATGGCAATAACTTCAATAACTCAGAAAATATGACAATCAGCTGATATCTCTGTGCATGGGTGGTGCATGTGCCTCGCATCATCTGCCAGCTGGGGCCCCAGATGAGGGATTGTTTATACTTGTATTTCTCACTCACAGATATCAACACATCTAGTGTCTGGTGGTTGACTCAAGCTTACGGAGGATTGTTGCTTTACACTGTAGAGGGAAACATTTTTTGATACCTGTGTAGAAAAGTTAATCTCTGCTGTCAATATTAGTTAACCGTCAGTCGACTGTAGTCACTTCCTGCGGTAAAAGGGTTAATACCTAAATCTAAATAATGTGCTTCAGTATTTGATTTGGAGGTGTCCCTGATCTGTAGGATAAATGCTACTGATATAATTACTTATTACTGGATTATCAATACTAATTAAACCATCAATATACCTATATGTTAAAGAGAGTAATTCTGGATTTGGAAAATCTATATATATATATATATATAAAAGAGGAAGTTTG